TATGACACTGTATCTTGAAAATTGATAAATGTTTACTGTAGGGCAAATACTTTACATATAATAATAGCTAATTATGATAACTACCATCTTTTGAGTACTCATTATATGCCAGACTTCTTTTTTTTAATCTTTCATTATCTCATTTAACCTTTAGTAATGCTGTGCAATAGATACTGTTTTCTGTTTTATAGATGAGACAGCTTTGGATAAGAGAATTGAAATCAATGGTGTGTGGTACTATAGCTGTAAGTAGTAAGGCTGGGTGTCTGTTTTCAGAGCCTCTTACCTACCATGCGACTCTGCCTCCCCATTGTAGATATGGTGGGAGCATTATCTACATTAAGCAGCATACTGCTTTTATTTTTTAAAGGAAAATATAAAAACTGCTTTTTGTGTTGACAGTTTTTCTATTTTTATGTAAGATGACTATTTTCCCCTAAGAGATATACCTGTATATATTGCTTTTTCTTTTTCTTTTTAAATAGTATATATCATTCAGCCATGTCAGTGATGTTCTTCAATAGAATTATATATTTAGAAGAATTTTCACAAAAATCATGTTGTTAATTTCTAAACTAGAAAATGTGTAAAAGTTAAAAGTGTTTATTCTTTTGAAATATGAGAAGTTAAGTGTTTGGGTACCAACCAAAAGGTTAGTGGTTTGAACCTACCAGCTGTGATGTGGGAAAAAGATTGGCATTCTGCTTCCATAAAGATTACAGCCTTGGAAACCCATAGGGCAGTTCTGCTTTGTTCTGTAGGGTCACAATGAGTTAGCGTTGACTTGTTCGGCAACAGGTTTTTAAAGAAGCACATTGTCAGGTTTTCTTTCGAGGTGCCACTGAGGGGGTTTGCACTGCCAACTTTTCAGCTAGCAGTTTGAGTGCAAATTGTATGCACTACTAGGGACTCCTTTCTTATCACACCTAGAATTAAATCAGTGACTCTGGTCATTCTCCTCACATGAACTCCACACTCCTAAAACTGGTTTGTAAGGCCCTTTAGCCTCGTCTGTGTCAACTGTTTTGTATATTCTTTGTCCCTGTGGTTCTGTTATTTAGTGCTCCCTCTGCCTAGAACACCATTTGCCCTTTCTCCCTCAAGTTTACTTGACTAATCCTAATCCTTGCTGCTTTCTGTAGATTTCCGTTTAAATATCACTTCCTAAAGAAAGTCTTTTCCTGAATTCTAGGATAGTTTATTTGTTCTTATGGCTCCTTGTACTTTTTTCTGTTGGAGTCCTTGTCACACTTTGTCTTCTTAGATATTAATCTCAGTGTAGAGAGAGACCATATAAATCCTGATTTATTTCCTACTCTGTTCTCAGCATTTAGTGAAATACCTGGCCTCCTCAGTAGGTGGTCATAAATATTTGTTGATGAGTAAATCTCATTTAACATTGAATCATTGCTCTCTAAATCTGAGTGAAGAATGTACAATTTGGGTAAAAATAGATGTCCTAATCATTTTATTTTATTAAGGGTTCTAAGGCATTTTTCACAAGAACAGTTGTGTTTAAAACAGTGCCAAGAAAATAGTGAATTTAATTATGTTCTGCTTATTCATCCTCTGATTTAAGTTAACTGAAACAATGATTGTCTCACTCTCTTTATATATATATATATATATA